GGAACCTGCCAAAACACAAACCAAGTATTTCCCTTCTCTGAGTGTCCATTTTCTTATCTACGGATTGAAGAGGCTAGACTAGTTACCTTCTTATGTTAAGATTCTAAGTTTATATGGAAACCATCCACATCATTTCAGCTAAAAATGATGAGATGTGAAATTTTTAAAGTACTTAGATGTGACTTTTTTCTTAGTTTTTTGTTGTTGTTGTAGATTTTTATCTTGGATTATATATTTCTAAATTTTGTTTCCACAGACAGCAGTCATTGTCTTTACAAATCATATTTTCTGGTAACTAATCTTCTATTTTACATTAAAAATGAAGCTTTTTTTTTTTTCACTTTCCTTCTTTCTTTCATTCTTTCTCTGGGGGAGAAGACTTTCCTTTGTGTACTTGGGATAATACCTACAGTATTCTGTCACAAATACTATGTGATGGTTTCTAGGAAATAAGGCCTTTAATGTTACATACACTTTATAGAAATGATGGATCTTAGAAATAGGAACACAATTACATTACCATATTAATCCTTATGACTTAGAGTAAGATATATAAAATTTTCTCCATAGTAAACTGAAATGTTTTCTTCAGGTTCTTTGTACAGTATATTTCACATTTGTACAAAAGCACATCATCCTACTCATCATGACTTGTTATATCTCTCTGTCCAACCAGAATGACTAGAAAGTCATAGTATGGGTGAGGGGATATTAACTCAAGGCAGAAAAAGAAAGGTTCGTGACCTTCATAAGTTACAAAATGAATGATTTAAAAAATTATGAAGGCAAGCTATACATACTAGTATACAAATAACTCAAAATCTTTTCACAACCTGCCAGCCAATGTTATTTGTCTCCAACATATCCAATATTCCAGTCAGTGTGGTTTTCTAATTCATCTTCAAACACATGATGATTATCCCCAGTTATCTACCAACATTTTTTTTCTATTTTTTTCTCTACCATCATTAAAAAGAACTACTACCATTTAACATTATTTTTGAAAGAACTGTGACAAAGATAATTTTATTTGACCCAAAAAACAACCCTAAATAACAAAATAAGCAAGGGTCACTGGATTTCCTCAGTTACAGGTAAGGAAATAGAGTTCAGAGAGAGTAAGTGACAGCCATGAAAACTTGGCTATTAATGGGCAAAATGGAAGCTAAAAGGTAGGTTCTGAGTCTATCTTTTTCCTGTCTTGCAAGGTTATGCCTTCTTCCCTTATATAACCTAGTTCTACCATTCCTTCAAGATCCTTCTCTTTCATTTTGCAGTACTGCTCATCCCCACCCCATAATCAAAAATTCCTCCCTCTTCTGAGGTCTTGTTAATCTCAATGGCCATTAGTCTTGGTATTCACTGACAGTGTATCTTGTGACATTACATATTATTCTATATGTAGTATATTTCCCGACCACTTAACTGTACCACTAGCTTCTTGAGGTTTCTATGCATCTTCTGTGTTGTTTGTATGCCCCTAGTGTACCAATGATCTCTTTTGTTTTGCCTTTGTTTGTCTGATGTCCCTTGACCTGTCACTAATCTTCGGTGTCCCTATCTTTGGATAACCACATCCTTTAGGACATGAGCAATCTTCCATTACAGGTAGTCCTGGTAGCGTTATCAATCAAGGTTCTTTGCCTTCCCTTGGACAAGGAGTATTCTTGTAATCCACGGTAGGCCAATCAGTCTGTCTTTCTAATAAGAATTTAAATCAAACTCAGAGAAAGAAGGAGGAAAATGGTTGGAGCTAATGCACCCAAAGACAATTTCCTAAAAAGACTTTCCATTTGTTCCTGCTCCCCGTTCCCCCAAAAATACCATTGTTGTTGCTTTTTTAAAGGCAAAGTTATTCAGCTTCTTCAGTTTACAGTTGAGCTATTTCTTACATTTCGATAAATTCCTGGCTTTTTTGTTTTATTTTCTTTTGTGTTTATTGCTTTTATCACACAGAATTATTTTCTCTTGTAAAGATCCTTATCTTATATGCCCACAAAGCTTAGTGCCTAGGGAGTGTTAGGGATTTTCAAATGTTTTGTTCTTATGCAGATTATGTTATTGTATATAACTGAAAACATAACTAAATGACCCTGAAGTGCACCACTACTATTGGTTAGAATTTTAATAACCAACAGGCAACCAGGGGCAAAGAAAACATTGGGAACTCATCTGCATGGAAATGACTTGTATTACAGTTCAGAACCCTGGTTTGGTGATTCACAAAGTGATAATTCACAGCTGCAAATTAAAGCATTTTATGATAAGGGTAGTATTTATAGTAATTTGACACCAGTTAGTTATATTTGACATTTAGGTTAACCTATCTGTTTTCCTTTTCTTCCCAAATATCATAGGAGCCAATTGTGACCATCTGAATTTTTAATATTATTTTACTACAAGATATATCTGATAAATTTAACTGCTTACACCATGGCTCCTTTTTAAGATGGTGAATATTTTAACATACTCTATAACTTCTTCTGAAGAGCAGATTATAGTCATATTCACTAAGAAAGGAAATTATAATTAGAATAATTTAGGTGGGTAAATGTTATCATTTTTCAACGCAAACTCAGTGCTCTACAAAGGAAGTTCTCTCTGCTATTCTTTAAGCAAATTAAGAAATATCAACCAAATAATCTTTTATAATATAACTGGAATTTAACAATTCTAGCTGATCATACATCAGTAGTTAGTGAATTCACTTTTCAACAGATTACAAACCTAAGTAAACTTGTTTCTATGTCCTTCATAAATTTCTATCATTTTAGACATTTACATCTACTCAGAACCCTTTGTATTCCAGGAATATTCTTTTAATAGTAGACATTAGGGGAATGTCATGAATGTATATGATTTCTCTTTCTTAATGACAAATATTTCCCTGAAGAGAAAAACCCTACTGAAAAGTGGGCAGGGGGAAGATGGGGACATCTAAAAAAATTCATTTCTTCTTTTTTTGAACATCTATTACTACATGATAGTATTTCCCACAAGATTATTTTTATTTCATATGAAGTTGGGAAAAATCTTTGTGCTGAATCCTTTGAGTATACCTCTAGTGATAGATGTCAGATCAGTGTTGTATAAAACTTTTATTTGACAGGTAGAAGACAGGAAGAAGATTCTCTCCAAAATAGAACTGTAAAATCCTTCTCTGAGATTAATATAATCTTTTGTTTCCATGTATAAATGACTTATTCATATTTGCTATAAAAATTAGTTCATGTAATTAATTGGAATAATGTGAAATTAAGAAACTTAGAAAGGATACATATATAGTCAAATTAGGATAGTTGGTTTTAAATGTTTTTTTTTATATGAATCAAATGTGAAATAGGTATACAATACAAATTTTCAATGATCTTTTATCTTAATTTATAATATTTTTATGATCACTGACTAAAAATATCTTAAGATTCATCCACCCTGCATATAGTATATACTTAAAAAGCATCTTTGGAAGAGATGATTTTCTTAGTATTAAATTTATGGTATGCAATACAATGCAAATGTATTAAATATTTAGATTTATCCTATAAATGTGGCTACGATTTATTCCATTTTATTACAAGCATTACCTTATATTCTCTGGCATTATCAAATAATTTCACATGTCCCCTAATATCCCAAGAAGAGGGAGTAACAATATTAGGTTTTGGGGTTTTTTTTCGACAAAATCTAGCATTCCAGATGATCTTCCCTATCTTTCTGGCACTCCTTCTTTACACCCCTCAAAAATGAATAAGGAGTAAACAGATATAATTCCATTATACATCCTATTCCTATAAAGGTTATTCTTTGTCTATCTGAGTTAGAAGCAAATCACTTTTGATGCATATTAAAATGTTAGTCCATACATATGTAATGTGCATCTATTTAATGCATTAATAGAAAAGAAATTTATATCCATTCCTACATTTGAGATTCTTGTTATACTTCAAGAACTAACCAGGTTTTCAATGGTTTAAGATGTGAGAAGAAAAAAAAAGTGAAAGAGTGGTGAGATGTCAAAGAGATATTGCTTGTTTTCAGATTTATTTTCCTCTCTAGCATTCTTATAGGCCTTCACTTCAGAGTCTGTTCAGTTTTCTCTTTGTAACAGACAGATCTTTCCCTTGAATAAGGTGGTTCACTCTAGCCTAGAAATGGCTGTATACGATCATTTTTGTGCTTCTGTTTTTTCTCATGAGAATTAAAATCTAAAAAAAAAAAAATACTATGAAATGTCTTGATCAAAACAGCAAGATGACTGTCATTTAGTTTTTTTTAACTTTTAGTTAGTGGACTAGATATCTAGTATAAGCTTAGTAACAACAGTATTCAACAACATAGAGTATTGTTTGTTTAGACCAGAATAAGGAAAGCATATTCAAAAAGAAATTTCTGGCTATTTACCTTATGACATTTAGCTCCTCAAACAGTTTTAAGAAAGACATAAAATAAGTACAAGGGAACTGAAATAGAATATTGCATCTACTTTATAAAAGGCAATTTAAAAAAAATTTACAAACACCAGAAAGATCTGATCAGAGGAGTTTAGTACTATACTACAACAGAATTTGCATAGTCTGTGAGATTTTACTGCACTAAAATTAAACAAAAATATATTTATCTGTTTTAATTGAGATATAATTTACTTACCACAACATTCATCATTTTATTTTTATTTATTTATTTTTAAAAGATTTTATTTATTTATTTGACACACACACACAAACAGAGAGAGAGAATAAGAGAGAGAGAGCACAATCAGCAGCAGCAGAGTGAGAGAAGCAGGGTCTCCACCAAGCAGGGAGCCCAATGTGCAGCTTAGTCCTAGGACCATGGGATCATGACCAGAGCCAAAGGCAGATGCTTAACTGACAGCCACCCAGGTGCCCCAACATTCACCCTTTTAAAGCATAATATTTTTTTGGCTTATGTACTATTGCCAATTTAGAGTGACCCTTCTCACAGATGAGATTATTATTTAGCATTATAAAATGTTATCTTACCTTACAAAGGAAGTTGATTTTAAAACCCAAAGACTGGGCATTTCTAGAGCCTGAGTTCATGTAGTTTCCAACCAAAAGAACTAACTCTAAAAGTCTGTTAAAGCTTTCACTTTTCTTCATTTCTTCACAGGCAAGAGTTACTGCTATGATGCTTGGTTTGATGTTGTTTACATGTTCTTCAAACGTGAGCTTGAAAAGAATGTTATCGAGACGAGGCCGCAACATTTTCACTGAGCTCATCTGTAAGACAAGAAATGCTGTATAAGAATATAGATATATAAAGCCTGTTGTTTCATTTTCTAGTGGGGATAATTTTATAGACAATATGGTAAAATTTCTGCATAAAATGAATTTTCTGGGTTTTAAAAAATATTGTTTTGTTATGTTTTAGACATTCCAAAGGAATATTCTCAAAGTTAAAAACAGCTGTTCAGTTTTAAACAAATCATGCTTTTAACAATAAGAAAATATTATTGAAGCTAAACAGTTGCTATTGTTAATGCATAATCACTAATCATAAATAGCATTTAAACTACCAAAAACTGTTCCCTGAGGTAAATTATGAAAATTTACAAACATGAAACTGAGTTGAATGGATAGTTTGGCCATAGATATAAGATGTACATGATAACAGAAAATGTAAGAGGAATCAGATTTCCTAAGAAATTACATATTACTATGCTGTTTGAAATCATAGGACTAGCTCTGATTGAACATATAATTTTTAAATCAATGATTTTTATTCATTGAATATATTAAATATTTATATATGCTTTAAAGAATTTCCCCTACTGGACAGAATGTTGATGTTAAGTTAATTAGGTAATGGTAAAATCACATGAACTTACTTTTTTTTTTGTATTTTTTTATTGGACTTCGATTTGCCAGCATATATTATAACACCCAGTACTCATCCCATCAAGTGCCCCCTTCAGTGCCTGTCACCCAGTCACCCCGTGCCCCTGCCCACCTCCCCTTCCACTACCCCTTGTTCTTTTCCCAGAGTTAGGACTCTCTCATGTTCTGTCACTCTCTCTGGTATTTCCCACTCATTTTCTCCCCTTTCCCCTTTAATCCCTTTCATTATTTTTTATATTCCCCATATGAATGAAACCATATAATGTTTGTCCTTCTCCGATTGACTTACTTCACTCAGCATAATACCCTCTACTTCTATCCACATTGAGGCAAATGGTTGGTATTTGTCGTTTCTAATGGCTGAGTAATATTCCATTGTATTGTGGACACTGCTGCTATAAACATTGGGGTGCAGGTGTCCCGGCGTTTCACTGCATCTGTATCTTTGGGGTAAATCCCCACCAGTGTAATTGCTGGGTTGTAGGGTAGCTCTATTTTTAACTCTTTGAGGAACCTCCACACAGTTTTCCAGAGTGGCTGCCCCAGTTCACATTTCCACCAAAAGTGCAAGAGGGTTCCCCTTTCTCCACATCCTTTCCAACACTTGGTGTTTCCTGTCTTGTTAATTTTCACCATTCTCACTGGTGTGAGGGGGTATCTCATTGTGGTTTTGATTTGTATTTCCCTGATGGCCGGTGATACGGAGCATTTTCTGCTTGTTGGCCATGTCTATGTCTTCCTCTGTGAAATTTCTTGTCTTTTGCCCATTTCATGACTGGATTGTTTCTTTGCTGTTGAGTTAAATAAGTCCTTTATAGATATTGGATACTAGCCCTTTATCTAATAGGTCATTTGCAAATATCTTCTCCCATTCTGTAGGTTGTCTTTGAGTTTTGTTGACTGTTTCTTTTGCTGTGCAGAAGCTTTTAATCTTGATGAAGTCCCAATAGTCATTTTTGTTTTTGTTTCCCTTGCCTTCATGGATGTATCTTGCAAGAAGTTGCTGTGGTCAAGTTCAAAAAGGATGTTGCCTGTGTTCTCCCCTAGGATTTTGATAGATTCTTGTCTCACATTAAGATCTTTCATCCATTTTGAGTTTATCTTTGTGTATGGTGTAAGAGAATGGAAAAATACTCCATGCTCATGGATTGGAAGAATTAATATCGTGAAAATGTCTATGCTACCCAGGGCAATTTACATATTCAGTGAAATTCCTATCAAAATACCATGGACTTTCTTCAGAGAGTTGAAACAAAATATCTTAAGATTTGTGTGGAATCAGAAAAGACTCTAAATAGCCAGGGAAATATTGAAAAGGAAAACCAAAGCTGGTGGCATCACAATTCTGGACATCAAGCTGTTTGCCAAAGCAATAAAAATCAAGACAGTGTGGTACTGGCACAAAAACAGACACATAGATCAATGGAATAGAATAGAGAACACAGAAATGGGCCCTTAACTCTATGGTCAACTAATATTTGACAAGCAAGAAAGACTATCCACTGGAAAAAGGACAGTCTCTTCAATAAATGGTGCTGGGAAAATTGGACATCCACATGCAGAAGAATGAAACTAGACCATTCCCTTACACCATACACAAAGATAAACTCAAAATGGATGAACTTACTTTTAAGTCTATTACTCAAGAATTCTATGTTGGTTTTCTTTAAAACAGGTCAAATTAGGTTTTAATTATTTGTTTCATAGTATTGCGGTGCACATTCTCTATTCCCTTTGGTTTAGCTCCTATGGTAATAATTTCTTTTAGCCATTAATGTCCTGTAACTTCAAGTCATTTAATAAGCTTTCATTCACCAAATGAATTATAGGACAGAGGTGAGGTTGGGAGTAGACACATATGAACATACATAAGCATACACACAATGAAAATAAACAATTCTTTTTCTTTAGTAGGTTCCACACTGCATGTGGAGTCCAACATGGAGCTTGAATCCATGACCCTGAGATCAAGATCTGAGCTGAGTTGGACACTTAACCAACTGAACCACTTAACCACCCCAAAATAAATTATTAATAATCCTAATTATATTTATTTTTTGTACATATTGCTTAGTGTCTTGACTATAAATGGTAGGTACAGATTAGACACTGAGATATCTGTAAATAACATGAAAATAATTTCAAAACAGAAACAAAAGTCCTTAAGACCCAAAGTGCCTTTCAAAAAAAGCAAATGAGTTGCTGAATATATCATATCTGCTCTAATATGGAAGGCATAGTTCATAATTTTTCGTCTTTGAAATGAACTTGCCCATTAACCATGGGTATCTCCTTCTCTAAAGATTAACCTATGACTTCTGCTAATCCCTATATGCTCTCATGCTCTTTACAGATGATTTGTAAAAGTATGCTGGGAATATTGACCTGTTACTATATTTATGTAGATTTTATGAGTTCTTATTAATAGCTCTTTTATTTTTATGATCAGGATAATATTATAGAAACGATCCTATAGTTGCTTCATCACTTCTATGGTAAGTATAAGGCATACCACCAAATCACAATCTTCTAATATAACCTAAAACTCATAACACAGTCACTTAAAAACTATAGTTACTGATAAAACTAGCATACGGTTCTAGATGGGTAAGTAGAAATTAAATGCTGATGTGTGCTGAAAGAAAACTTTTAACTCATTTTTAAAAAATATTTTATTTTAGAGAGAGAAAGCGGATGCATGTGAGCAAGTAGGGGGAGGGGCATAGGGAAAACAAAAGAGAGAATCTCAAGTATACTCCACTCTGATTGTGGAGGCTAACATGGGACTCAAGTTCACAACCCTGAGATCATGACCTGAGCCAAAACCAAGAGTTGGATGCTTAACCGAATAAGCCACACAGGCACCCCAAAACTTTAAACTCTTATGAATACAATGTTTAATGCAGACTTCACAATAGAGGTGATATGAATGGATAGAAAAACAAAGGAGAGAGAGAGACTGAGGCAGAGAGAGAACAAATGGGAGCCAAAGGGAAGGTGTAGAAAGGATACAGTGTGAGAAAAGGTTTATAGTTAGGAATGCACAGGGTATATAACTAGGGGCAAAATTGAAACTAAAATACCCAAAAAGTCCATGGAAAGGCCATGGAATTGGAAGCTAGCCATATCAAATTCTTTATCTCCATGAATTCACAACTCTCTTTGGTATGTTTCCATGGGAACCCAAATTTCTGTATGCTTTTCTGCCTTTCTTTATGCCTCTACCACTCTCTTCAAATCCCTCCCCACTTTATTTTTCCTTTGCTTTCACCAGTAACTGGCACCATTTGCACATACACATATTTCTATCATTTTATGTTTAGGGATTTTTTTTTTCAGGCTCTCTGATAGTTAAAAAAGCCCAAGAGCTATTTTGACCAATTGTTAGTCAAGTGATTTATGTGCCCTTCTGGCCCTGCTTTGTAAGGCTTTGTAGGTTCACCACAGTGGCCTTGGTCTCAGATGAATAAGTAATTTAAACCCTTATACTTACATGGATTTTTAGTCTCACTTCAGTTATAATACTACTTGTTTTCATTCATATTTTCACCCTTTCTGGGATTTGTGTTTCAATCTTTGGCCTATAGATCCAGATAGAATGGATTTAAATGCCACCTCTAACTGAAATAACATGAACAAAAGTGTAATTTCCTAATAATAGTAAAATAACAGTGATTAGCATTTTTAAGCGCTTTGTGCCAAATGTTTTTCTGTATATATATATATATATATATATATATATATAATGTAAATTAACTGAATTGAATCTCAAAACAATCCTAGGAAAAGGTTATTAGCATTAGTCTCATTATAAACATTAAGAAAGTGAGTGACAGAAATACTAAGTGATTTATGCAAAGATAGGTTGTATGTTAAAGACCTGGAGATTTGAATTCAGGCATTCAGGTCACATAATCTAGACTCTGAACCATTACACCATAATGCCTCTTGCAATCATATTGGGAGCAGTATGTACAATTGTTTGGAGGAGAGAGTAGTGGCAGGGAGAGTATTAGTCTTCAAAATGACTTAAAAAAAACAGATAATGAGCTAGGATGTTGATGATAGAAAGAGGTAAGATGCAATGGATATGAGAGACAGAATTAAGGAAGATTCAGTGGGATGTAGTATTAAATATGAGAGAAGATAGTCAAAGATGACTCCAAGATTTTAAGTCTGTTGTGAGGTAGAACACTGTTGGTATTAATGAAGGCACAAGGAGATACTGGTTTGCTGTGGTTTATGGTCTGATTTGTTGCTTTGTTTCAGGTGAATTTGTTTACCCTGATTGTCTGCTGCCTATCCTATATAAGAGAGTGTAGGTGCAGGTAATATGCAGCTTAGTAACAAACTAAATTAAAGACTAAATCTAGAAACTTTCA